GTGAACAATCACACCTAAACTTGACAATGTTCAACAATATGATCTATGAAAGTTTACAAAATGATCGTCACAGAAAACAAGCAATGTTTCAGTACTACTATTCAGTATGATCAGAAATCTTGAAACCTTCATCTTCCTTGTAGACTAAGCTTGATTCGTTGAATCTAAAGAAAAATAACCCTTTTTTTTATTGGTCTTATACTATCTAATTGGGACCCCAGCAGCTTAAGTACATGACTTTCTGTGAAGAAAGAAGTCCCACATCCGTGAGAACTTCAATTGGGGGTTCTCCTCCTTCCTATAAAAGGAGCCCCTCCCCCCTTATTTCATACATCCCAAAATATTTCTCCTTCTTTCTCTTTTACTTTCCTAGTATTGGTAATTTCCAATTGTAAAAGGAAAGAGTGGTCATTATAAAATTTTCATTTTTGCCTATTGTCAGGGTTATTTTTCTCGTCTCTATTTTAGTTGTGTGTATTTATGCTGGTACTCTGATCCTAACAGTGGTATCAGAGCTGCGTTCGAGTTCCGTTGCGCGTCACTAGAATAGTGTTGGTAAAATTCTGAGTATGCTCTGTGGTTGCAGTTTAATCTGATCTTCCACATCAGAAAGGAGTTGTTACTGGAAAAGGTGTGGTAGTGTGAAAGTACTATTGAGGAAAGTTCTGGCTAGGAAAGACTTGGTACTTAAGCGTGTCCATTAGTGACCCACCTCTCTTTCCTGGGAACCTACTTGGTGTACTGGTTCACGGTTTACTACTATTGTTCCGGTAGACAATACTATTTATAAGTGATAGTTGCATAAGTCTGTATACAACCATGGCAGCAAAGTACGAGATAGAGAAGTTCAACGGGAACAATTTCTCGTTGTGGAAATTGAAGATGAAGGCAATCTTGAGAAAGGACAATTGCGCAGAAGCAATTGAGGGAAAACCTGCAGAAATGACGGATAAAGATTGGAAGAAAATTGACGGCAACGCTATTGCAAATTTACACTTGGCAATGGCAGACTCAGTTCTATCCAGTGTTGCGGAGAAAGATTCTGCAAAGGAGATTTGGGATGCCCTCATTAAATTATATGAGGTGAAGTCACTTCACACAAGGATATTCCTGAAGAGGAAACTCTATACTCTTCGGATGAGTGAGTCCACATCGGTGACGGACCACATCAACCAACTGAACACCTTGTTTGCCCAATTAGCAGCAGCAAATTTCAACATAGTTGAGAATGAGCGTGCGGAGCTCTTACTTCAGAGCTTGCCAGACTCGTATGATCAACTCATCATCAACATTACAAATAATAATATTGAAGGACAACTACACTTTGACGATGTTGCCGGAGCTATTCTAGAAGAAGAATCCAGGCGAATGAATAAGGTAGAAAGTTCTAAACAAGCAGAAGTTTTGACGATGATGAGAGGAAGATCAGCGGAACGTGGCTCAAGTGGGAGTCAAGATCATGGCAGATCTAGCTCTCGAAACAAGAAGACTTTCAAATTTAAATGCTACTACTGTGGCAAGAAAGGGCACACGAAGAAAGAGTGTTGGAAGAGGAAGAATGAAGAATCAACCTCACAAGGTTGCATTGCGAGTACTTCAGAGGAAGGAGTAATTCTGGTAAGCGAAGCAGCAATCAGCTCTAATGGCGGAAACGAATTTCATGACAAGTGGATAATGGATTCAGGTGCAACTTGGCATATGACCCCACACCGAGATTGGTTTCAAACCTACAAGCCTATCTCAGGTGGATCCGTGTTCATGGGAAATGACCATGCATTGGAGATTGCTGGAGTTGGTACTGTCAAATTAAAAATGTATGACGGTACTATTCGCACAATCCAAGAAGTACGACATGTGAAGGACTTGAAGAAAAATATATTGTCTATAGGGCAATTGGATGACCTCGGCTGCAAGATCCATGTTGAAGGAGGAATCTTAAAGGTAGTGAGGGGAAACATAGTTGTCATGAAAGCAGAGAAAATCATGGCAAACTTGTATGTGCTTATGGGAGACACCTTGCAAGAAAATCATGCAACAATTACGTCGACAAGCCAAGAAGAAGCGGCGATAACGTGGCACCGTAGACTTGGACATATGTCAGAGCGAGGTCTGCAGATTCTTGCGGAACGTGATCTCATACCTGGGCTCAAGAAGGTCGATTTACCCTTCTGTGAGCATTGTGTGACAAGCAAACAACACAGGTTGAAGTTTGCAAGAACCACCACAAGGAGTAAGCAAACTTTGGACTTGATCCATTCTGATGTCTGGGAATCACCGGAATTATCTCTCGGAGGAGCAAAATATTTTGTGTCGTTCATCGATGACTACTCGAGGAGATTATGGGTATACCCTATCAAGAAGAAGTCTGAAGTATTTGCGCGGTTCAAAGACTTCAAAGCACAAGTAGAACTTGAGACCGGAAGGAGAATCAAGTGTTTGAGGACAGACAATGGAGGAGAATATGTAGATGGAGATTTTCTAGCATTCTGCAAGCAAGAAGGAATTGTGAGACAATTTTCTGTTCCACACACGCCTCAGCAGAATGGTGTAGCAGAGCGGATGAATAGAACTCTTCTAGAGAGAACCAGAGCTATGCTGCAAACTGCAGGCATAACAAAGTCTTTCTGGGCAGAAGCCGTGAATACTGCCTGTTACTTGATAAATCGGTCTCCATCAACAGCAATTGGGTTGAAAACTCCTATGGAAATGTGGAGTGGAAAATCAACCGATTATTCTTCCTTACATGTGTTTGGTTGTCCCGCGTACGTGATGTACAACACCCAAGAAAGGACGAAGTTGGATCCAAAATCCAGGAAATGCATCTTCTTGGGATATGCTGACAATGTGAAGGGGTATCGCTTGTGGGATCCCACTGCCCACAAAGTTATTGTTAGCAGAGATGTCGTCTTTGCAGAAAATGAACTGCAAAGCAAGCAGATAAATGACAGCTCGGAAAAGGACAAGACTATAGTACAGATAGAGAAGAAGACTTCGGAACATTCCTCTGAGTTAGAGGAGGAGCATGAAGAACATGAGCCAAATGAGGTGGAAGAAGGAGAACTCCGACGATCAACAAGAGAAAGAGTCAGACCATCTTGGCATTCACAATATGTGATGGCAAGTCATGATGCGTATTGTCTCCTAAGTGAAGAAGGAGAACCTTCAACTTTTCAAGAGGCCGTGAGTGGTTCAGAAGCTCCTCTATGGATGGCTGCTATGGAAGAAGAAATTGAAGCTCTTCATAAAAACAAGACATGGCATCTTGTGGAACTTCCAAAAGGTCGCAGAGCCATTGGTTGCAAATGGGTCTATAAGATCAAGAGAGATGCCAATGATCAAGTAGAAAGATATCGTGCTAGACTGGTGGTAAAAGGATATGCTCAGAAAGAAGGCATTGATTTCAACGAGATATTCTCACCAGTTGTTAGATTGACAACAATCGAAATTGTCCTGGCGATGTGTCTGCATTTGATTTACATCTTGAGCAATTGGATGTAAAAACGCTTTTCTTCATGGAGAACTTGAAGAGGAAATATATATGCTCCAACCAGAAGGCTTCAAAGAGCAAGAAAACTTGGTTTGCGAGGTTGAACAAATCTCTATACGGTCTAAAGCAGGCGCCAAGGTGTTGGTATAAGAGATTTGATTCCTTCATTATTAGCCTCGGATACTACGGACTAAGTTCGGACCATTGTACTTACCACAATAGGTTTGAAGAAAATGATTTCATCATATTGCTGTTGTATGTGGATGACATGTTGGTGGTAGGCCCTAACAAAGCTCGAATCCAAGAATTGAAGGCACAATTGGCTAGGGAGTTTGATATGAAGGACTTGGGACCAACAAACAAGATTTTAGGGATGCAAATTCACCGAGACAGAAAAGATAGGAAGATTTGGCTTTCTCAAAAGAATTATTTACTTAAGATCTTGCGGCGCTTCAACATGCAAGATTGCAAGCCAATTTCTACCCCACTTCCTGTCAACTGTAAGTTATCCTCAAGTATGAGTCCTAGCAGTGAAGCGGAGAGGATCGAAATGTCTCGAAGTACCGTATGCATCAGCAGTGGGAAGTCTTATGTATGCCATGATTTGTACAAGACCGGACATTGCACAAGCAGTGAGAGTGGTTAGTAGATTCATGGGGAATCCTGGTGGAGAACATTGGCAAAATGTGAAGAGGGTCCTTAGGTATATAAAAGGAACCTCAAATGTTGCATTATGTTATGGAGGATCGAAGCGGTTGTCGAGAGGTTATGTAGATTCGGATTTTGCAGGTGATCTGGATAAAAGGAAGTCTACTACTGGTTATGTGTTTACCATCAATGGAGGGCAGTAAGTTGGTTATCCAAGTTACAAGATGTGGTAGCTCTGTCTACTACGGAAGCTGAATACATGGCTGTCATCCAAGCATGTAAAGAAGCTATCTGGATTAAAAGAATAATGGGGGAACTTGGTCACAAGCAACAACAAATTGTTGTGTACTGTGATAGTCAAAGTGCCTTACACATTGCAAGGAATCCAGCCTTTCATTCGAGGACAAAACACATAGGAATAAGATATCATTTTGTTCGAGAAGTAGTAGAAGAAGGAAGTGTAGACTTACAGAAGATCCACACTGAAAAGAACCTAGCAGATGTAATGACAAAACCGGTTAATGCTGACAAGTTTATATGGAGTCGATCCCTCTATGGCCTATCGGAAGCATAAGCAACATGGATGTGAGAGAAGAAGACATAGTGTGAAGATTTGATTAATTTCATCAAAATCTTCAAGTGGGAGATTGTGAAGAAAGAAGTCCCACATCCGTGAGAACTTCAATTGGGGGTTCTCCTCCTTCCTATAAAAGGAGCCCCTCCCCCCTTATTTCATACATCCCAAAATATTTCTCCTTCTTTCTCTTTTACTTTCCTAGTATTGGTAATTTCCAATTGTAAAAGGAAAGAGTGGTCATTATAAAATTTTCATTTTTGCCTATTGTCAGGGTTATTTTTCTCGTCTCTATTTTAGTTGTGTGTATTTATGCTGGTACTCTGATCCTAACACTTTCCTCAATGACTCTGACTGTTTTGTGTTCTCTATTTCGGAGACCATAGTAGAAGTGGAAGAAAGTTTCTTAGCCTGAGAGAATGAACCGACATGGGTTTTGAGATGCTGTTGAGCTGATCTTATAGCTTGGTTCCACCTGCAGATACCCTGGTCTTTCAAGGCCTCCACAACTCCAACCCCAGTTGCCACACCCCAGGATCTAATTGTTGGTACTAAATTGGGAAAGAAATATTCCCTTGCCGAACCATACACAGAGAAACAATAGATAAATAAATTTAAAAATTAACATACTTCGACATTTCTTGATTATATTCACTAACACATTACAGTATTTATTTCTCAACTTAAATTTTTACACTCTAATTTTTACAAGGATAAAATTATATTTATCAATTTATAATCTTTACAGAGATAAAATTACAAAAAACAAAAATAGAAAAACAAACTCAAAAATTAACTTCATTCAATACTTCTTGCCTATATTTATTAACACACAACAGTTTTTTATTTATCAATTTAAAATTGTAAATTATCTTATACAATTCTTACTAGGACAAAATTGCATTTCTCAACTTATAATTTTTATAAAGCAAAATTACATTTTTCAATTTACAATTTTTACAAAGATAAAATTGTAAATCCTCTCATATAATTATTTTTACAAAAATAAAATTGTAAACTTTCTCATATAATTTTTATAAAAAATAAAATTACAAACTCTCTTAACACACAACTATTCAAGTTCCTAATATACAAAAACTAGTATGGTTGGCTCTGAATAAACTCAAATTATCATCCCTTATTTATAATACTAGTATGGCCAGTCTTTCTTCAAATGATCATCTTGTAATGTTTTGTATAGCTGAGTTCATCTTGTGATGGTCTTAGTTCTTAGATTATACTAGTTGATTTTTAGTTGAATGAATGAGAAAATTAGATGAAGGTGATCTTTATATACCAAGAAACAAATAATTTTAGAGAAAACCAGGGGAAGTAAACCGCTGGTTTTTACAAACACAGTGGGCTTAGATTCATTCATTTGGATTCCAGTGAACACGTGTAGTTGCTATTGATGTTGATGCGTCACATTGCTTGGAAAACCAGAGATACGTTTCAGCATGTTTTTATATATATATATATATATATAGTGAAAGAATGAGAAGAAGTAAATGAAGTATATAATTTTTGTAGTAATTAATAAAATTAATCAATATAAATAATAATATTTATTTTTTTACTATATTTTTAAAAAATAAATTCAGCTATTATTTTTAAATTTGTATTTAGTTTTAAAAAGTGAAAACAAAACAAATGTTGCATTTTTTTTTCTCTCAATTTCATGCATAATTTAGGAGGACGTAATTATGTTCATGGGCCCATAACATTATTTTCCTTCTTCCTAATTTTTTTAGAAAATATAGAATAGAACTTTAATATTTCAATCACATCTTTAGCTTCTTTAATGATTTGACAAATGATAGTCACATTAACCAACTTTGATTTTCTTAAATAAAGTTTTAGGTTAGGGATATATTTGAAAGAAAAAAACTCTTCTAAATTTGGTCAATCTGATTCTCCAATAAGTATTGATCATCATCAAAACACATGAATAAATCTTAACAATTTAAAAAAATTATTGTTATTCTAAAAATGTGCACAGTGAATTGATATAATGTTTGATTGGATTTCATGAGTCATCACTCTACATAACAGTCCTTAAGGACTCTTCTGACTGTTTACCCTTTAGTCTGCTAGAAGTAGAAACCAGAACAGAAGAGGAAAGGTTCTTTGCCCTTGACAAAGATCCAAAATGGGTTTTGATCACATGTTGAGCTGACTTGAAAGCGTGATTCCACCTACACACCCCTTGGTCCTTCAGGGCCTCCACAACTCCAACACTGGTTGCCACAATCCAACCTCTCTGAGCTGAACTCATCTCCTATTGCTTCTATGATCAATACTACTAGTTCTTTGCTTTTCTTGATGGCACAAAAAAAAATTGGAGTTGATTTCTACTAGTAGAAGGTAATTGTAAGAAGAAAACTGGGAGGTTTGATGAAACAAATGAAGAAAAGAGGTTACTTATAAAGAGTCCAAAGTAGGTAGAGGTGAAACATAGGCTGAATATTTGAAAAGAAAAAACCAGTGGCAGGTGAAGCCAGTGGTTTTTGCTTTGGTGGGGGCTGAGCAAACTAGTAGTACTCAATTATTGATATTGCGGAAGGATACTCCTCCTTTGGTAGGACCACATGTCTGTGTCAATTTACTTAAGTGCTACCTAGTTGCATTGCAAACTTAGACTCTGTTTCACTAATCACTAGTAGACAAATCCCGCACACGGTTTGCATCTTAGGATATCAAATCAAGGACAATTCTTTTTAATAGTTTATGAGAAAATCAATCTTACCTGGGAAGGGATGATTGAATTGCTTGTTTTGTGCTTAACTTTTTTCTCAAGGTATTAAAATAACTCCTACGTGTAGTCTGTATTCAAAGAATGAACTCACTTATCTAAAGATTTTATATATGTATATATATAAAACTCTCACCGAACCTATATCTGCCTTTATTAGACACTTTTTTCACTACACTGCCATATTGTAAATTTTCTAAACATTTGATTGAACTATAAATAATTGCTCTAAAGTTTGTGCAACAGAGTTCGATTGCTAATATCTATTGCCAATTGAATACTAATTTTCTTTGCATTTACTGTTTACTTGTTAATAAAATTGAATAGCCTTGAAGAGCACGAGAACTTCACTGGATCAATTACATGATAGTCACCTTTTTGAACAATAGAGTTGCGATATTCCAATATCAATACAGACCCCAATATATCAACTACATTATATTGTTCTTCTCAGATAATCAACTCTTAGATATTGAAGTGTATGAAGAGAATTCAGTAGCATCCAGTTCGCTGTTCAGCAATACTCATGATGGATTTCATATAGCCGTGCATACACTTCAACCGTGATTATTCCTTTAATTTAGTAAGAGCCCTTTATTACTAAAATTGAATAAAAACAAAGGAAATATGTGTTACCCCATCTCCTCATTTTTTTTTCCTGTTGAAATCAATTAAGTTTGAGTATACAAATTTCAATACAAACTGAATTTCAACCCTCGTAAGAAGAATTAGGCACATGGAAGTGGGGGAAAACTAAAGAACACGTAAAATTAGGCAATTCTCAACCATCAACACTATGATTTATCAAAATTTACATACTGATTGTGGCACCAGATAAGCATTCTTTCAGTACTTTACAATATTAGCCTAGAAATCTCAAACATCGTCTTCCTATGAGACTAAGTTTGTTTGATTCCCAAATAGAAAGAAATCCAATGTTTTCTAGTTGGGACCCCAACAGCTTAAGTACATGACAGTCCTCAAGGACTCCTCTGACTGCTTCGGCTTCTCAGGTTTTAGTGTTGTGGAGATCATAGCAGAAGAAGAGGAAGAAGAGGAGGAAGAAAGCTTCTTTGCTTGAGAGGATGAACCAACATGGGTTTTGAGACGCTGTTGAGCTGATCTGAAAGCATGGTTCCACCTGCAGATGCCTTGGTCTTTCAAGGCCTCCACAATTCCAACACTAGTTGCCACACTCCATGCTCTAATTGCCGAACTCATCTTGGATGATCTTGTAATTCTTCTTAGACTATATTTGATGAGAGAAGAAAACAACCGTAGAAGAAAGCCAAGTTTGATTTACGAATAAATGAATGAGGAATGAAATGGAGAAAGTCCTTATATAGACATGACACTAGTGAAGTTGCAAGCAGATGGAAATAAATGACCACAGGTTTTGGGAAAACCAGAGGAAGTAAACCGGTGGTTTTAGGAAACACAATGGGCCATGTTTCAGAATAGTTTACCTCATAAGTTACATGCATACTAAGTTATAGTAACACGTGTATTTGTTGATAATAAAAATTTGTTGTATTTGACGCAACCTTTTTAACACTTACGAAAGAAAGAAAATATTTTCTACGAATCAAGAAAAATAGAAGATATTTTTCCTGTTTGTTTGGATCAGTGAAAGTGTAATTGAAAATAAATAAATATATACATTTTAAAATGATTAATAACTCAAACAATTTAAGTATTTTATTTTTAACATAGAGATTTCATCAATTCCATTTATTCATATAACATGTTAATTTTAACAGTACGGGTACTTAAATCAAGGACTTAAAGAAGAATAAAAGTGCAATTAAAAAAATATATATATATATATATATATATATATATATATATATATATATATATATATATATATATAAAGTTTCAGATCTCAGGTAAATTGTTTGCAATCCTAATTGAATGCTTCATACATAAAAAAAATAATAATAATCATTTTTCTTCTTCTTTTTTATCTTTTTTATTTGGACACATTATATTATTGGCTTTTAATTTTTTCAAGGGTTTTAAATCTTTAGGTCAACGGTATTTTTTAATCTACATAGGTTTTAACCCAACTTTATAATAAATAACACAAACTGTTTTTTTACTTGAATTATGACAAGCTTGACTTATACATTTACTTTTATTTTTTCATTACACTACTTTTTTTTTATACCTTTTAATAAAAATCACACATCTTCTTAAATGAGTAAGAATCAACTAGGTAGGTTGATGAATTATCCTCTTAAGCAGTATTAATTCACTAAATTATGGAAAAATAATTACTTACTAAAAAAAGTTATTAGTAACAAGTATTTTCAATTTACTATATTGAGAAAAGATTTTTTTACACCCAATTTTTATAATCATTGTGATTCTAAAATATTATATTTTTATTAATTGTTGGAGAGAAAATGAAGTAAAATAAATGTTGTTGAATAGATGTTTGTAGTGTAAAAATCAATCCTCTGTATTATTATGAGATTTTACGTTTTAGGCCATGTTTCAAACATCAAAACTTGTTTATATCCATTTTTTTAAACATATTTAAAATAATAATAATAATAATAATAATAATAATAATAATAATAATTAGTTGTATAGTGATAATCATTTGACTCTTTTTTAATAAGATATAAGAATGTCGATGATTTATTGAAAGTTCCATATTAATGTTTCTTATTATTTTTTTAAGTAATATATATTAAAAAAACAATCTACAAATATTTATTTAAACATGACCTATCGAAGAATAAATAATAACAATGATAAAAATCAATGGATCAAGTATTTTCTTTTTATTAATTTGTGTTAAACGGTAATATTATATTAGCTTCCCAAATTTTGTAAAAATTAATTATTGTAAAATATATTTTTTTGGAATAATATTTTTTTTCATTCTCATTTGTTCTATATAATAACATATTTCTCGTAATAACATTGAGCTATTGTGTTTCTCATCTTGCAATGTTATTTTTTATTTTTAATAAGTAAAAGATCCAGTCAAATTATAGTATTTAGAATGACTCTTTCTCTAGTCATTTGGTATTTAGTTGATCATATCTTGCTCCTATAATTCGTTATGGGTATTTCGTTCCTCTAATTCATCCTGAATATTTCGTTCCTATAATTCGTCTTGGATATCTCACCTCAAATATACGGTTAGAACGCCCTAATATACAGTTGGAACCTACGTCCCTAACCCGAAAATGACGCTATCAGATAATAATCGATCGAGGCAAAAAGGCCCATGAAATTAAGTCTAAGGGAGGAGAACATTAACTTTTACTTTTGACAACACTTGGCACCATCCGTGGAAAACGTAAAATGTTCCTACTCCGTGAAAAGATAAAAACTTCAATTCACCTCCTCTCGCCACCTATCAACGCCACACTCCTGGACCATCAGGTTCGAGAATTGCAACCCCGCCCAATGAGCCTTGTGCGCCCTGAGCCTCGCTCATCGGGAACCGGCACCCCACGTGCGAATTAGGGTGGTGCCGCCTCATATTCCTGTAGTGTTAAAAAGAGGGATGATGTTAAAAAAGGTGGCACTAGGGTTCCGATTGAGTAAGGCGGTGTTATGTTTTTATCTCCCTCTAGGAGTGTTGCCAATTGCAGGGACCACCAATCCAATTACCAATTTACATTATGATAACATGTTGAGTTGTTTTTAACACTTTCTTGAGCTGGACACCGACTTACCATCTTTTCAAGTATTTGAGCTCTTATTATCCTTCATCCCAAGCAATTTCTTGCAAATCTTGAATAACACAATAGGTAGTAGCTTTGTGAAAATATCAACAACTTGATCTTGACTTACCATATGTACAACCTCCACATTTCATTTCTTCACATGTTCTCGGATGAAGTGAAAACGCACATCAATGTGTTTGTTTCTCTCATGATTGATCGGATTCTTCACCAGTTTAATAGTTGACTTGTTATCAATTTGGACTATGATTGCATTAAGTTATTTCTCCTTCACCAAGTTTAGCAAATTTCTAAGCTACATTACATGACACGCACTCCACGAGGCCGCTACGTACTTGACTTCACAGGTTGACAATGTTACTATGGGTTGTTTCTTCGAGAGCCAAGTAAACGTCGTGTTACCCATGAAGAAAACATACCCTTAAGCACTTTTCCAATCAACCACATTTCCACACAAGTCACTATCCGAGTACCTGACAAGTCAGTAATCGTCTGATCTCGTGTACAGTAGTCTGAGGGACAGTGTACTACGGATATACCTCAAAATTCACTTCAGTGTCTTCCAATGAGACTAGCTTGAACTCTCCATAAACCAACTAACAATCCCAACACTTAGTAACAAATCGGATCTAGTACTTGTGAAGAAATGAAGACTTCCAACTAAGCTCTAATATCTACTCAGATCAACTTGGTCTCCTCCCTCAAATTTGAAAAGATTTGTCCCTGGTTCCATGAGGGTTGATATCGAATTGCAATCGGTCATCTTGAACTTATTCAAGATCTCCTTTGCATACCCTTCTTGAGACACAAATATTCCTAACTCCTCCTGTCTAACTTCTAGACCTAGAAAAAAATTTCATCATGCCAAGATCAATCATCTCAAACTCAATTTTCATTTCTTGCTTAAATTCCTGAATCATTCCAAGATTGCTTCCTATAAAAATCACATTGCCTCCTTTCTTCTTCACATATAGGGCATGTAGGGACATTATAAAAATGTGTTCTCCTTGAAGTAGACATCTATTTGGTCGTTCCATATCTGAGGAACTTGTTTTAGCACATAAAGAGCTTTCTTTAATCGTAATATCTTATCCTCCTCGCCTTTCTTCACGTATTCAAGTGATTTCTCAACATACACCTCCTTGAGCACACCATTCAAAAATGCCAACTTGACATGCATTTGTGTAATCGTCCATTTGTATTGTGCTACCAAAGAGATCATTAGCCGAACAATCTCCATCCTCGTTATCAGGGAAAACACCTCATCATAGTCAATTCCTTTTTTCTGTTTGTAACCCTTTGCAACCAACCGAGCTTTGTACATATCCACCTCTTCTTGTGCATTAAGTTTCTTCTTGAACACCCATTTTACGCCCAAGTGTCATTTCGATCTATGGCTTAAATCTAATAGTTCATGACAACTCGTCACTTTTCATCTCGTGCAGCCTCCTCAAATGTAATGTTCTCCGAATTTGCCAAAAGACAAACAATATGAACTTCATTAATTGAATCATATAAGTCTTTGCAAGTTTCTCATTCTTCATCGTGATTCATACTCCTCTTCGTCTTTCGAGCTAATATCAAGTGGTGCAACAGCTCAGTTTCCATCTGATTCTCCCCAGTTCCACTCACTTGCTTCATCAAATCAAACATCCCGATTTACAACCATCTTTTTACTTATCAGATTAAACAACCTATAAGTTTTTTATGCTTCATCATAACCGATGAACACATACTTCTTATCCTTGTCTTCTAGCTTAGTCTGATACTGAGACGGAACTTCTCCATAGACCAAACTTTCAAACACTTGTGGTGTTACATCATCTAGCCTTGCATGCGGACATCTATTCTGCATATAGATAGCACAGTGTGTTGCCTCGACCTGAAACACTTTTGACGTACTCTTAGATTTCAACATAGCTCGGTCCATGTCAAAAATTGTTCGGTTCTTTCTCTTAGTCACACCATTTTGTTGTGGTGAGTACGAGACTGTTAGGAATATCCTTATTCCTTCATCATCACAATACTTCATGAAAGCATCTAACATAAATTCTCTTCCTCTATCCGATCAAACTAATAAGATATGTCACCTGGTCATGTTCTCAACCATCATCTTAAACTTTTTAAACACTTCGAACACTTTGAATTTCTCTTTCAGCAAATACACCCACGTCTTTCTAAGAAATCATCAACATATGTCATAAAATATTCTTTACCACTGAATGACTCATGGATAATTGGTCCACACAGATTGGTATGAATCAACTCAAGTTGTTTATCTACTCGATACTCGACACTCTTCGGAAAAAGGGTCATCGTTAATTTTTCGATCACACATTCTTCATAACTTTTTTTCATTCTCCAAGATCAGCAGTCTGAGCACCATCTTCTTGTTTGACAGCTCGACAAGCCTACCAAAACTCAAGTGGTCAAACCGATGATGCTAAGTCAACATTGTGTCCTCCACGTCAAGCTTCAGACACTTCTCTTGAATACCTTTCAACTGTAACTTATACATCTTGTTCCTCTCCATCTCAACCCGAGCAATCAGTCTTTCAAGTTTATCCCTCAACTAGAGCACTCGGTCTTTCATGAAGACCGTGTACCCCTTCTCCATCAACTGTCTCATACTTTTGAGATCAGGAGCAAAATATACATCTTGGATTCTCCCCACCAGTCCATCCTTCTACAAACAGCAGATCATGCCTTGACCATTTACCGAGACCTTCGAAGCGTTTTCAAATAAAATAGTACCAACATTTGACTTCTTTAATTCTTTAAAAAGACGTTCATCATCACACATGTGATTACTCGCCCTATGTCTATATACTATACCGACTTGTGATCAGATCCATCACTATTATCAGCTACCTAGTGAATGACCGAGTGAAGATCGATCATCATGAGTGTTGGTTCTTCTGTTCCTTTTGTAAGATGCGTCTCGCCCACCTTCTGACACTCTTTGGCAAAATGTCCCTCTTTTCCACAGTTGAAGCACTTTCTCGAGTAACAGTCATTCGCATGATCATATTTGTTATACTTAAAACACTCGACATTTGAGTCCTTCTTTCACCAACCTCCTCTCAATCCACGTCCTTTTTCTCGTCAGTTTTGTTAAGTCTCCTCTTTCTTCTCGTCAACTCGGCCTCGACTAGATCGACCACCTTGGGAGTGATTACCACGTCCTCGTCATCTATTATTCTAGGAATATAGTGTCTTCTCCTCCTTTTTTGACTCAGTCTTTAGTACTTGTATAATCGCCTCCTCCTTCATCTTCTTCCTCCGAAACTCATGAGCTTCAAGCGAACCAACCAGTTTCTGAAGCATGAGTTCAGACAAAATTTGAGACTTTTCAATGACACAAACTTTGTTCTCAAAATCGTTGGTTAATGATCTTAAGATTTTTTGCAACGCCCAATTTTCAGAGATTTTTTCTTTATCCCGATTAAGTTCATTCACCATGATTTGGACTCAGGTGATGTAGTTAGAAACTTTTTTTGAATCTTTCATCATCATGCTTTCAAACTCGCCATATAGGGTTTGTAATTGAAACTGTTTGATTCGGTCATCACCCTTGTATGCTATCTTCAGTGTCGTCCACATTCCTTTTACAGATTTAACATTTGTAATCTTCTGGAAATCAGTATCTTCTATAGCTCAAAACAGTGTGAACAAAGTTGCACGGTCTTTCCCACGATTTTGGTCAAGTCTTTGAGTGTATTGAACTTCAATTCTTCTGTGACCTCCGGTTCTTCAAAATCTTCCTCCATTATTCTCCAGCAACTCTGGACTTTGAGGAGAGCCTTTATCTAGATACCCATCTCTCATAACACATCCTTATTCAATCAGGACACAATAATAGCATTTGTTAGATGGACCATCTCACTTTTGACACTCAAACCCTAGTTCCCACTTTTCTAAAGAACCCTAATTCTTCTCGAAAAACCCTAACTCTTATCGGAAAAAAAAACTAACTCTTCTAAAAAAAATCATAACTTTAATATTACATTAATAACAAAATTTTTTTCAAAATATAATCCTATGATATTTTCCAAAACAAATAATAACTACCCAAAATATCATTAATATCATTAATATCAAAATATTTTAATAAACTCTTAATTATCTTCTCATTTATTCATTCTAACATATTTTTAATACAAATTATTTAATTTTATTCAATCAAACTCTAGATTAATTCCCTCAAATGTTACTTAATCATCATAACATGGAAAAGAGAAATCTATTTCCATTTATTTTCAAGTAAACTAAAGACACTTGTTCTGTAGGTAGATTAACAATTCCTCCCCTATAGTATATTTATTATCTGTCACGTTCTGGTGAGAATCATGAACTTGCAAGATCCAAAGAAAACCAGGAAATAAAACTTATCAGAAACCAAATTTATCATCTTAACTTTACATGCCAGGGCATAGTGATTAATTAGTAGTGATTTCAGTATTATTTTATTGGCCACTGATCCATAGTGATTAATTAAAGACCAAAATCCGTTTCCGAAATTATAACTGAATCTCTAACAAAATAAGTAATTACAACCAATAATTAAATTTATCATTTAAATCACTGATTAAAGTTATAATAAACATCAGTAACTAAATTTATGATTAAAATCAATTATTAATTTAGTGACGGATTTTAAATCTAGAAAAGAAAAACTAATTCTTTTGACTTGAATCTATCACTTCACCTCTATTTAATAGCATAATAAATGCTTAACACTCGAAACTCAATATATTTAATACTTGAAAATATAAAATACATTCAATATTTATAAAACAATTTAGTTGAAAGATGTTTTGCAAAGGACGCTCATGAATGGAGGTTGCAGAGCACTTAAAATCGTGTCCTTAGAAAGACATAAAATTGTTAGGGCACACAATCAAAATTATTAAATTAAGATATTAAAATATTTAACTACATAAGCAACCTCAATTATATAATTTTTTTGTAAAAAGATTAAAGAAATAAATATTATTCAATTATATTTATGATAATTTTTTTATAATGAAATATATTTTTATATACATAATTTTATATATATATATATATATATATATATATATATATATATATATATATATATATATATATATATATATATATATATATATATATATATATTTGTGTGCGTCTTTCCTTGGCCGTTCAAGCACGTGATTTGGAGTGTGCGAGGGAAATATACGAACAACAAATATATTTTTGGTAAAATTAAATAATTAAATGTTTAAATTAAAAAAATAGTAGTCTCTTGAATGCATTTTAAAAAAAATATATACTTTATTTTCATAAAAATATATATTTAATTACCAAATCTTTTTATTGTATTATAAAATTCAAACTTTTTTACCTTTTACGTTTAGTTAAAAAGAAATTGTAATTATCTAATAAAAGTATATATATATATATATATATATATATATATATATATATATTCTAAAAAAGATGTATTTTATTAAATTTTCAGAATAAATCTATTTCAAACTCATTTTTTTTATTATTATTTTTTGTTTACTATTTTATTAAAAGAATTTAAGTTTTTGTTTGCATTAAATATTTTATAAGTTCTTTTAAACGAAATTTTCTATAAACACTTATAAAAAGTAAAAATATTAATAACATTCTCACACAAGCTAGCATGATTTAAATTTAAATTATAAAGAATTAGAATGACAAGAAACTCTACACAAAAGTAATTTAGTGTGGAGACAAACTCATAAAAAATAAACAAATAAATAATTTTTTTATACACAATACACTAACACAAAATAAAACTTATAACAAGGTGATTAAGAAATAAAGATACATGATAGTTTTCTTTTCATTTCCACGTGTCACAATACGATTGTCTCCTTGGATAAGCTTGACTCTGCAGAAATTCACAGAGCCTCTCACTCACTTTCCCCAACCCAAAGCAATGCCTCTCTGCTTCTGAAAATTTTCACGGCTATGTCGCAAAACGTCTGATCCCTGTCACCTCTCTCTCCGTCCCTCCCCGATGGCCACTGTTACTTCGTCTTTCTCTTTCTCCACTCTTACCCAATTTTCTCAGAGGAACCTCACTCTCTCTTCCAATTCAGAAGCAACCCTTCGGTTCCGCGTTGGTTTCTCTTGCCGCTATTTTGGAGTTCGAGCTTCCAATTATGCTTCCAAAATGGTTGTTCGCTGCTCTTCTTCCTCTGTCACAGGTTTGTTTTGTTCCCCGCTAAGAGGCATAAAGGGTACAATTTTATGAGTATTGAGCTCTTTTTGGTTATCTGAGAATTGGGTAGTTTTCAATTTTTGTATTTTTTAAAGGTTTGGAGTTAGAACTATGTTTTGGTTGCAGGTGTATGGTTGTCAAATTTTTATGTCTGTTTTTCAATTTTAGTTTTGGAACTTGATTTTTGAGAGGGAATTTGTTTTTTGAGGATAGTGTTGCGATTGAAAGTGAGGTTGAAGAAGTTTGAACCTAGTTTTACAGTTTGTTTTGTAACCAGTGGATGTAATTGCTTGTGGCTCTATGTACTGCATGAGAAATTTTCAGGATTGATGCCACCTTGATGTGTCTGTGATTATTTTTGGGTGTGAATGTCAAACTTAAATTCTTTGCAGCTCTTTCTTGTAGAAATGAATGTAGCTTCAATTTCTAATGTTATCATCAGTTGATTTGGCTTTGTAATATGAAGATGTTGTTGTTACGTAGAATTATATGTCGAGGGCTTAATGCTGTTAGTGAGCATGAGATGTAGTGTGACAAATGGTTCCAAATTAGGTTCCTTTATCGTTCTAATATTCATAGGGCCAAATGGGCAAAAGGAATAAAAGTTGAAACGGAATCTTGCTATCAATGGTTGGTTATGGGTTGTTTACATACTTTCATCTGCAGACCCTCCAACTGTTTCTGAGACAAAGTTAAATTTTCTCAAGGAATATAAGCGACCAATTCCCAGTATCTACAACACTGTGCTGCAGGAGCTCATTGTTCAGCAACATTTAATGAGATACAAGAGATCATATCGCTATGATGCTGTATTTGCCCTTGGCTTTGTCACTGTATATGAGCAACTCATGGAAGGGTATCCAAGTGATGAGGACCGAGATGCCATCTTCCAAGCATACATTCATGCATTAAAAGAAGATCCTGAACAATACAGGTTAGAATATTAAAATTATTTTGGACTTCCCCCGTGTCCAAACTGTCAACTTACTGATAAAGAATTGAGAACTAATGGCTGTAAGCCACTGGAAACTGTTTCACATAAACTCACCAACGCCCTAATGCTTGCTTAGGCGACATTTGGATGTTTCCAAACATGATTTTGAATCATGTTCTAAGCAGTTGCGGGAAATTGTGGAACATGATTTGGTGATTTGTGAATCATGTTTGGTTTGCTTTACTCCAAGCATCATAGAAATTTTAGCACCCAAATTCATGTTCTAGGCTGTTGATACCCATACCGTTGCTTAAATATTATTTGAAGAGAAATATGTTACAATCAAATGAGTCCCTGCTTCAATAATAAATTCTGATGTATTCTCTGCTGTTTGCCATTTAATTGCGATTGGGAGCTATATTGCTAACTGACCACCCAAGCATTATTAATATCCTTGATTATTATTGTTGTGAAATGAAAAATAGAATTTCTGAAATTTTATCTGCATGTTATAAAGTGGAAGAATGAATTACTCTTCCTAAGACCTGTTTAATACTTGGTTTCATCTTAAGAAACGTACATGAAGTTGAAGGTAACAATAAGCTGAAATGCAAGGACTATTATTGTCTATACTCTGCAAAAGTTTTCATTGTGTCAACTGGATAGATTGCAATAACTTCGAACTTTATTGAAAAAAATCATCTTTTCTACTTCCCTCTACAGAGTAGATGCAAAGAAATTGGAAGAATGGGCTCGTGCTCAAAACCCAACTTCACTAGTTGAGTTCTCATCCAGAGAAGGAGAAGTTGAGGCAATATTAAAGGATATTGCAGAAAGAGCAGGAGGAAAGGGGGATTTCAGTTATAGTCGTTTCTTTGCAATAGGCCTCTTTCGCCTTCTTGAGTTAGCAAATGCAATGGAACCAACAATTTTGGAAAAGGTTTCCCAATTTATTTAAGGCATCATACTTTGTTTGATTTATATATTTGGTTTTTACAATTTGGCGTTTAGACTACCAAGTTTATTTCTCATTTAACCAGTCTAGAAAACCACAAATTCAAGACTGCCCAACTTCTTTAGACGATCTTTTTCTGGCCTGTTTGGGTTAGATGAGGTAATGGTCTTGACATGATCGTACTTCTTCCTAAGTTCAGGCCTCGTTGATGGGATTACTCCCATAATTTTCTTTTATCTAAATGATTTCATTATTTTTCTTCTACTGAAATAATTGTATGACTTGTGAAGAAGAACACCCCATCTTTTGTAATTAAACGTTTAGGAAGTTAAATTATTTACAATAGAAACCAAATTCTAAATCACCAGAATAAATGAGTGCACACACACACAACGATTTAAAGAGATTTGGCAATGTATCTATGTCATCGGGATCAGAATGGTTGTTTCTATTATTGTTTAATAAGTTGGGTTGCATCATATATATAACAGTACAGATTTACATTATCACTCATGTATCTGTCTGGCTGTAGAATGAGTCATACACAACCTTAAAGGTTCCAAAATCACAGATAAAACTAACAATTTGAGCATAGGAGATGATATGACAGTGGAGCAGTAGGGGATGCATTTAATATCATGATTGTGAGACAAACTATCTATTTTCTACCGCGTAATTACTTTTATATAGGATTATTTATAATGAATCTCTGGTGTCAATATAACAGCTTTGTGCGGTTTTGAATGTCAACAAAAGAAGTGTGGATCGGGACTTGGATGTGTATCGTAACTTGCTTTCTAAGTTGGTTCAAGCTAAAGAGTTGCTAAAGGAATACGTTGACAGGTAAAATATGAGATTTTGGCATCTTGAAATGCTACTTATGGAATTTAGTGAGTATCATCTAGCAATGCTATTTAGTGAAAATTGCCTTCTCATCCATGATATAATCTATGAATGTTGCAGTTATTTAGTGATTTTTTTTTTTTTTTTCCATTCTATACCTTATTGTCTACAGTTGTGAATCTGCTAATTCTTTAGCGGTTTATCCCATTAAGTTCATGGACACACATTGTTCTGAATGTTCTTCAATAGACAATGACATCACAAACATCAGAGCAATGTACTAAAAACTATGGTATTAACTTAGTAAAATTTGAGGTGGTTTGCCCGGCCTATTAATGAAGCTCTTTGGTTTTTAGACAGGGATTCAACATTCCATTCCAAATCTCCTATTTATAAAAGATAGGATTGCAAACTTTCTAGCAATACACTGAGAACATTCGTATCAACGTGTCTTTCGAACTTTTTAGTTGGGATGGCAGGCTGGCTCGCCCAGGCGGGTTAGTAGTTTTAGCCTGTTAGTCCATTTTGGTCCGTTCTAATTTGGCGGACTAAGAATGGGGTGGACAAGCTAGTCCGTTGGTCTGTTTTAAAATAATATTTATATATTAAAATAAAAATATTATATTTTTTTTGTTATATTATTGAGAAATCTAAATATATTATAATTTAAATTATAAAAATTAATTTATTAAATTTAAATTATTAATTATAATTAGTTATTTTGACACGTAAATATAATATTTTTTCAAATTTTTAATAAAAATATTAATTAATAAAGTAAAACTTAAAAATTAATTTTATAATTAAGGATATATTTAAATATATATATATATATATATATATATATATATATAAAAGTTTTTATATAAAAAAAATGATTGACGGATTTACCTATTTTACCATTCTTACTTTTTAGTAAATATACGAGTAAAATATGATTTTGATATATCTGAAATATCTAAAAATTGTCTTCTTCTTTTTTCCTAATTTTGAAACACACCACTTTTAGTTCTCATACTACTATTTGAACAGGTTTTTATCCTTTTATAAAGCAAGTAATGCACTTGAAACAAATGTATACATTTCCAAATTAGATGGATTGAGAAAGGACAAATTTTTAAGACTAAAATTGATTTTTCAAAATTTTTAGAAATACCAAAAACTCATTGTACCTAAATATATTGTACTGAAGTTATTTTTACTAGCGACACCAAGCTTAGATCCCATTTTCTCCAAAATGCTTGCAGTAGCCTGTGTTCGATGCCATTATTTTCTCAGCAGTCAGCTTTTGGATTCCTCTACCTGAAGTGTGGTTCCAGTAGATGTTATATTTACCTTGTTTTGTTTTCCTCCGCAAGATCTTGATTCTTTGAAATAATCTTTTGCTTCAGGGAGAAGAAGAAAAGGGAAGAAAGGGCCGAACCACAAAAGACTAATGAGGCCATTACACAACAACAATTTTCTAGCCTTTAGTTATGGGTTTCCTCTGAAATGTTCACCTTGTAAGAATTGGTATTCTTGACTTGCTCTTTTTTTATTTTTTATTTTTTATTTTTTCTGTTGGTCTTGTGCATTGGGTGAATCAGAGTGGGGCACTTCTATCATCATGGTTTTGCATAATGTACTTGGTGTATCTTCTTTCATGGTGATCCGGCTGAATCCTGCTTTCTGCTCAACCACATTTTACCTGTCCTACACTGTCTTGTGTGATCTTCTCTTACATGTACTTTTCTTTTTTACCACCATACGGTCGCAGATGTATTTTGTAGTTTAAATACACGCAGGAAAGCACTGGTAATTGAAATTGAAATTTAAATTGAAATTCTTCATATTTCAGATCTTACATTTTCTGGGGTGAATGCTTAGTTTACATCCCCATATTCCATACAAACATGCATTTTAGATTCGTTATTTCCTTATAGCTTATTGGATTTACAACCGGAAAATATATAGACAAAGAAATATTGGATGGTTAATTTTGATAATTGATAATTGCACAATTTGATTATAATTTACAATGATAATTTCAGTCATTACTCAAGGCTCCTCAAAATATTAAATTAGCCACCTGTGTGGGACGTTCTCGCTGGAGGGATTGAATTTTCTTCTAATAATTTTATTTTGCCCCACCATGCACATGCCGCTATACTCACCTCAACAACCTTTTTACTCACAATCTCACGCCAAAACTCGCACTCCACATCGAGTCTACTAATATATGTATTACAACAGCAATTACTGTATTCCATTATCCCAATGCACTTATCATGTCTGTGCTCATAATGCTTCTAGAAATGAGCAGTGGTTTCACATTGATTGAAGCCACAAATATTTGGAAGGTTAACTAATACTGTAGGTAATGTCAGCTACACAACACCATCATTGTCTTAATAACGAAGGGCCTAACTAAGACGAGAAGGATCAATGCCATCTGGGATTCTAAATGTATCAGCTGCACCAAACTTCTGAAATTCCTCTCCTACAGAGGCTTCATCATCACTGTCATCTTCCTCATCCTCGTGGCGTGGTGATGAAGGATCATACATACTTTTAGACTTGCAACTACTTGTGGATAGCATGTTAACCTGGCCAAGGTGAGAGATCTCAACAACAACTGTGTCGTCATCAACTGGAAGGGGTTGCTTCCAAGGCTCTCCATCAATCCTCATGAATGTATGATCTGCTGCACCTTTGTGAAACTCGAACCGGATTCTGTGTGCCTAATGAAAAAGGAAAAGTGCAGATAAACTGTTAGGTAAAATAGCCTTGATTTAAGGTCAAGGAACCTCTTATAGAAAATGGGCAGAGAAATGACGAAAAACTTTTCTTCTTCCCTTGTTTATTCATTACCAGTAATTATATAACAGAAACAGTGAATAACAAACTCAGTAACAAACCCACTAAAATACTAACATGTCACACATAAATATTCTCTCACTCACTCCCCACTGGTCAAAGCTTGTAATCAGCTAAATATCTTGGGTTGGCTACCCCATTGGCCTGGTTGATAGTGTTGGTTTATTCATTTGAGCCTGGATTGCTATCATTACTGCTCCCTAAGAAAATCACCTTGTCCTCAAGGTGATAATTCAGTTACAATTCATTCCGGTCTTCCCAAGTGGTGTCTTCTGGGGCCGATCCTTTCCACTGTACCAAAACGAATTTCACAGGAGGGGTGGTGGAATTGTCTATCTTAGAATCTAGTATAGCCATAGGAGTAATTGTCGGGCTATTACCATGGGTTTCAACTGACAAATTAACTTGATGAGCAGGAAGGGAGCTGAAATGAGCCTTAAGCACAGAAGAATGAAAAACTAGATGGAATTTGAAGGCAACTCTAGCTTGTAAGCAACCAGTCTAACTTGTTCAAGTATGCGAAAAGGGCTGTAAAAACGCTTACCCAGCTTCTCATAAGCTGAACCGCGAACAAAATTTTGGTGATAGGGTCACAACTGCACATATACCTAATCATCAACCTGATATTCCACTTCCCGCCGATTGCCATCTATAACTATCTTCTCAATTTGTTTCTCAATTTCCGCTTCTGGAAATGGGGATATCGATACGGACGTACCGAGATTGGTGACGAATTGGGAAGGAGGTGTATTTGGTGATCCATATTACGAGAAGGTGGAAGGGATGCCGATTTCTGGAAAAATTGAGAGTATTTGTGTAAGAGGGTCGATATTTGATGAATAGGATGGGTAAGGACGGCTTCTGTGTTAGGTGAATTTGGTGAGGGTGTAGTAGCCAATATACGAATGTGAACAAATGTTGTTGCACCATGTGTTTGTAGGATATGTTTAACCTGTTGAGCTGAAATGTCCCTTTGGAGAGGGCATCGACCTTAAACTCCACAAATTTCCCATCCTTAGCGAACTTCATAGTGAGTTGGGAATAATCAGTAACAATGAGACCAAAATCTTTGAGCCACTGGATGCCAAAGACTACGTCAGCACCACTGATGGGGAGCACATGGAGATCCACCAGAAACTTATGACCCTAAATTTTCAATTCCACCCTTGGACAGATGCTATCACATTCAATTTCACTATGATTTCCAACCATTACTCGTAGTGTGTTAGTGGGCTGAGTTTCCACATTCAAAAAATGCACCATTCTGTCTTGGATAAAATTGTGAGTATTCCCCCCATCTACCAAAATAGTAGTGGGTTGGTTAGAGATGTAGCCCACTATGCGAAAAGCTTCAGGGGCTGGCAACCCAACCAAAGCGTTGGAACTTATTTGGGCTTCACTTTGGCCCAGATCTGCACCTTCCATCAGAGCCGCCCTTGAACGCGGGAATTCTACCCCAACGTCATCATCCTCATCGACGACAACTAATAGAAAGAAACGATCTGAGCTGAATTTTTCATCACAATTGTAGCATAATCTTTTCTCACGACGAGCCAACATCTCCTCGTGAGTCAACTTTTTATAATTTGGTTTAGATGGGATGGGAAGACTTGTCGATGGTCGAGAAGGTGTTGGAAGCAACGGCGGACCAGATGAAGGAGAGAAGGAAAGACTATGACAGAAGGAACGACATTGGTCAATGAGTTTGTCCTCTTGCAATCTAGCTAACGTCGCGGCATGTGTTAAAGTCTGAGGTTGCAACGTTTGAACTTCGCAACGGATATCTAGGTTTAACCCAGAAATAAAATTACTTAACAAGAAAGTTGCAGGGAGACCAATGATGCGGTTAACAAGCTATTCAAATTCATTCAAATAATCTTGTATGGAATCCTTCTGTGATAGGAAGGAGCAAAATGAACCTCTAGACCTTAAAGAAACTTTTGTAACGAGGGAATCATGTTGTTCTGATGCAACCATTTGAACCAACTGAGAGCTGGGCCATCCATGTAAAAAGGCACAATCCGGAGCCAATCCACTTCCGGTGTGCGATGGTACACAAAAAATTGGGATATCTTAAAAATCCACCCCAAGGTCGGTTTCATCAAACCGAGCAACATTCAAACGGAGGTGTGGTTTGATTAGCGGGGAATCAGAATGTGGAAAGGGTACATCGTGACTGGGAAGCTAAGAAACAATAACGTCCAAATAAGTAGTAATTTTATTTTGGTTAACAGGAAGTTTGAGAATAATTTCTTCCAAATTCGTGATGGATTTAGAGCGATTGTTTGGTGTTAGGTAAAATAGCCTTGATTTTAGGTCAACGAACCTCCTATAGAAAATAGATAGAAAAATGATGAAAACTTTTCTTCCCCCTTATTTATTTATTATCAGCAATTATATCACAGTGAATAACACACTTATAACAAACCCACTCAAATACTGTTACATCGTACATAAATATTTGCTCACTCACTCCCCATTAGTCAAAGCTTCTAATCAACTTAAATATCTTGACATCCTTTCTTCATTTGGGCCGGGCTATCATACACACTAGTATATTGTATTTAACTTTTTTTCTACAATGAAATAAATTACAATGAGTCAACTGACGTGGATGAATGAAGATGCCGCAATCTGAGTAACAAACTACAAAAGCTGAGTAACAACTCTGACCGGTATTTTATCTAGGGATTGAAAAATGGATTGGCTCGGACGGATCAACCCTCGAGTCTGTCTTTAATTAGTATTTCTAATATATTTTCGCTCGTTCCAATGAATCCGTCGGAGACACATTGACCACCAACAAGTACTTTATATATATAATTTATTAAAATTATAATAATATATATAAGTTTTTATATTGTGTTAATTAAATAATGAATAATTTATAAGTTAAGTTTAGTATGTTCATATAGTCTGGATAAAAAGGGGTCTCTGTCCGAAATGGTATCAGAGCCTAACCATTTTCAGAAGGGGGTATGATAGTAGGAATTATGAGTGGAAAGTGAGTAAGAGAAATCTTTAAACCATGAATAGCCAAACACCACCACCAGAGTCCGGTCCCGTTAGTCCCGTTGGTCCCGTTCTTTTAAATTCAACTCTTTCTCTTCCCGAAAATATTTCAAAAACTCTTTCCTCTAAAATAGAACATCTTATAGAATATTCCTATATTCCAGAAGATGCTCAGATCTCTGAGACATACAGTCCTCTCCTTAGTCCTTATAATATTTTCAAAAGACAACGATCTACTCTTAAATCCATTACCCGTTTGATTCATACCAGAAGACCTCCTGTTAAGGAGTACGTTCAAGCCTCCAGAATGGATCAGTGCACCTTAGCATCCACTGCTGAAGAGCAATATGTAAGTATTGAGATTCCTAAAGAAGCTATTAGGCACTGGCAAACTGAAGGATACACCCATCTCCACTATGGAGCAGTTCGACTTGTTCTCTCTCTACACGGAAGACGGGGATTACCTGTCTCAGCCAGAGTTTCTCTTTTAGACTCTAGCTACCTTCACTATGAACATGCTGTCATTGGCACTGTTCTAACTACTCTTCATGCTGGAAGTGTAGTTCTCACCATCTTCCCTAACTTCAACGTTAGTTTAAGAGATC